GTTCTGGCAGTCCTCAGCCGTGGTTTTTGAAAAAAAGGGACCAACGGGAAAACCAGAACGTCAGAACCTACTTCAGGAGGAGGTCAAGGCAGACACTCACTTAATTTATACATTCAGATATGTAGAAAGCTAGAGGATACAGAGTCTATTTTCCTATAAACATTTATATTATATATAAATATATATTTATATAATATATATATATATTATATATATATATATATATATTATATATATATATTTTATATATATATATATATATATTTATATAATTATATATATACATGTGTCTAAAATATAATTATAATAAAAATGTATATTACAATAAAAAAAGAGCTTTTAATTTCATTAACCTCGTTCACGTTTCCTTAGTTTTTCTCGATATATTCCACCAATGATATGAATAAACTTTGCATATTTAATTACTTCTATTCCTTTTTTTAACAGTGTTTGTCCGTTTCTTTTTTCCATCTCCCTCTTTCTTCATTTTTTCCCGCTAATTGTCTTTCTGATTAAAATGACACATTTAGTAAAATGAGGCTTTAATTAACAGGTTTCACATGTTTGAGGTTTCGTCAGGTGTTTGATAAATCCTCATGGAGGAGAGATGTAGTAATAACTAGATGTATTTGGGTCACTGAGCCATCTAAGGTATCCCCGTATTCCTTAATCCCAGTACCCTGTGCCTCAATCCACGCGATTGGAACAGTGCAGAGTGCGGCACACGTAGATAATGTTGTTAAATATTAACATTTAATATCTGAAGGTAATCAGAAGAGGCCATTACAAGTCATTATATAGAAACTAATGGAAATTGGTTCAGCAGCTGTGGTTGTGGGTCCCCTGGATGGGCCAGTTGTTCCAAGAATTTGTTTTCCATTACCCTACATAAGTGATAAAAATTTGAAAGCGTTCCAGAGTTACGAGCGAGAAATAAATACAAAAAAAAAGTTGGAGGAAGTGAAAAAAAAATAGGGAAATGTAAAAAAAAGTCTAAAAGTGAAAGAGTGTTCGTAAAGTGGAAATGAGAGACGTCAGGACTCCGACGGTCGATCACCTAGCTGAAAACTCGTTTAAAAATGGTATTCGTAACTGAGCCTCATGGTGATAACTTACACCAACTGTGCGATTTATAAGATAAAGATAGGCAAGAGGGGTGATGTCTCACTATCAATGATGGTGCAAAATCTTGAACTGGCTCTTGTTTCATTGTAGTATTGGTTAATGTTGTACTTATCTGGACACTTGCTAACTGCCAGTCTATGAGGTGTTGCTGTTCCCATCTTGTTTCCATCTATTTTTCGCTATCTTCACTGAGCTCTGCCCTCATTATCTTTGATAGATTGTTAGAGCCTTTTCCTTGCAGTATACCAGCTCTTACGGACAAAAAATCACAGATTTCCTGAGCTCTGAGAGCACTGGCAATGTGATGTGTTTATATTAGATCATGTGAAGCAGTGAATCCCACAATTACTGCTCAAGATCCGAAGCTTCGTTGACATTTTTACTAAACCTTTCACGACAATGTCTCTCACTCATAATTCCCAAAACATTTACTTAGCACCTTCAGGTAAACCTGTCTCTTATTTACTCTTGCGTCCCCAGGAGAATTAAACCGACCATTACGGAACTTTTGATTTAATGACAAAAAAATTTCTTTTGCGTTTATCCCGCAGCCTGGCAAGTTCGCCACATTGTTGATGGTTCCTCTACGGGTTTTTCAAACAAACTATTTATTGCTATGCTGTATATATGCAACCCAAATAACACATAATTATGGAATACATTTTTTTTTACAGTTCTTCCTAACACTGTGTCAGAGGCGATAAAAATCTAGTTGTTTTAGTTAGTAATGTTTATTGTCAGTAGAAAACAAAGGTAACGGACATCTAGAAATATTTTTTTTTTCAATTGTTGCTCTATACAATATTTTAGAAGTTACGTTTAATAATGAATACGTATTTGTTACAAAATCTGCGTTATCAATCTCATCCTGTTCTTATCTCTCGTCTCGGCTCATCAGCTATCAGCTGTCTCACCCTCTTGTCATTTATATCTTCTCTACCTTATCAATCATTCCTCCCTCTTCTCCCTTATCCTACAGTTATCTCTAAGTGTGAATGTGTGTGCAATGAATGTTTTTTGCAGTTGTAGCGAATGTGTATTAGTAGTACTAATTACAAGTAAAGTGTGCGAACACTGAGTTACCAGATCCTACCACTTGGAGACCAGTGGTTCGTCTTTAAAGATCCAGCCTCTCCCCAATGTCTACCTTCATAGGGCTTTCCTCAGGTCCCCGTTGTCCTGGAGTCCACCTGTGTCCCCTTGGGTATTCTACTTTTCCCACTTTTCCAAGATACACCCCTCTATCTCCTGCCTTCTCTCTGGTTACCTTCTGCTTCATGTTTCCAGATCGCCATCCGTGGACCCACGGGTTTCAACCCTTCCACACTCCCCACTTCCATTTTATTTTTGGTGCTTTTCCTGCTTCCGTGTCAAAAGAAGTTCACTTATGTCACCTCAGACAAACTTCTTTCCCCACTTTCCTAAGGTCATCGGCTCTTGGAACTCACCAGTGATCCTGCTGGATGTAAAGTTGATCTTGTCTAGCTGGTCTACTGTCGAGACTGTCCAGGTGGGTGGAATTACAGGAGGGGAGACACAGAAATCTGCATCCAGTAATTACACTCACCAAGACAGCCGCGACACTACGCCAGCTAGACGAGACCAAGCTAGACGAGACCAAGCTAGATGAGACCAAGCTAGACGAGACCAAGCTAGACGAGACCAAGCTAGACGAGATCAAGCTAGACGACATTCAAGCTAGACGAGACCAAGCTATACGAGACCAAGCTAGACGAGACCAAGCTAGACGAGACCAAGCTAGACGAGATCAAGCTAGACGAGATCAAGCTAGACGAGATTCAAGCTAGACGAGACCAAGCTAGACGAGACCAAGCTAGACGAAACCAAGCTAGACGAGACCAAGCTAGACGAGACTAAGCTAGATGAGACCAAGCTAGACGAGACCAAGCTAGACGAGACCAAGCTAGGCGAGGTCAAGCTAGACGAGACCAAGAGACGAGACTAAGCTAGACGAGACCAAGCTAGACGAGACAAAGCTAAACGAGATTAAGTTAGACGAGACCAAGCTAGACGAGACCAAGCTATACGAGACCAAGCTATACGAGATCAAGCTAGATGAGATTCAAGCTATACGAGACCAAGCTAGACGAGACCAAACTAGACGAAACCAAGCTAGACGAGACCAAGCTAGACGAGACCAAGCTAGACGAGACCAAGCTAGGTGAGATTCAAGCTAGACGAGACCAAGCTAGACGAGACCAAGCTAGACGAGACCAAGCTAGATCAGACCAAGCTAGACGAGACCAAGCTAGACGAGATCAAGCTAGACGAGATCAAGCTAGACGAGATTCAAGCTAGACGAGACCAAGCTAGACGAGATCAATCTAGACGAGATTCAAGCTAGACGAAACCAAGCTAGACGAGACCAAGCTAGACGAGACCAAGCTAGACGAGACCAAGCTAGACGAGATTCAAGCTAGACGAGACCAAGCTAGACGAGACCAAGCTAGACGAGACCAAGCTAGATGAGACCAATCTAGACGAGACCAAGCTAGACGAGACCAACCTAGACGAGATCAAGCTAGACGAGATTCAAGCTAGACGAGACCAAGCTAGACGAGACCAAGCTAGACGAGGCCAAGCTAGACGAGATCAAGCTCGACGAGATTCAGGCTAGACGAGACCAAGCTAGACGAGACCAAGCTAGACGAAACCAAGCTAGACGAGACCAAGCTAGACGAGACTAAGCTAGGCGAGATCAAGCTAGACGAGACCAAGCTAAACGAAACCAAGCTAGACGAGACCAAGATAGACGAGACCAAACTAGACGAGACCAAGCTAGACGAGACAAAGCTAGACGAGATCAAGCTAGACGAGACCAAGCTAGACGAGATCAATCTAGACGAGATCAAGCTAGACGAGACCAAGCTAGACGAGATCAATCTAGACGAGACCAAGCTAGACGAGACCAAGTTAGACGAGACCAAGCTAGACGAGACCAAGCTAGACGAGACTAAGCTAGACGAGATCAAGCTAGACGAGACCAAGCTAAACGAGACCAAGCTAGACGAGACCAAGCTAGACAATACCAAGCTACACGAGACCAAGCTAGACGAGACCAAGCTAGACAAGACCAAGCTAGACGAGACCAAGCTAGACAAGACCAAGCTAGACGAGACCAAGCTAGACGAAACTAAGCTAGACGAGATCAAGCTAGACGAGACCAAGCTAAACGAGATTAAGCTAGACGAGACCAAGTTAGACGAGACCAAGCTAGACGAGACCAAGCTAGACGAGACCAAGATAGACGAGATCAAGCTAGACGAGATCAAGCTAGACGAGATCAAGCTAGACGAGATCAAGCTAGACGAGATTCAAGCTAGACGAGACCAAGCTAGACGAGACCAAGCTAGATGAGACCAAGCTAGACGAGACCAAGCTAGACGAGATCAATCTAGACGAGACCAAGCTAGACGAGACCAAGCTAGACGAGACCAAGCTAGACGAGACCAAGCTATACGAGACCAAGCTAGACGAGATCAAGCTAGACGAGATCAAGCTAGACGAGATCAAGCTAGACGAGATTCAAGCTAGACGAGACCAAGCTAGACGAGACCAAGCTAGATGAGACCAAGCTAGACGAGACCAAGCTAGACGAGACCAAGCTAGACGAGACCAAGCTAGATCAGACCAAGCTAGACGAGACCAAGCTAGGGCGAGTCAAGCTAGACGAGATCAAGCAGACGAGATTCAAGTAGACGAGGGCCAAGCTAGACGAGATCAAGCTAGACGAGACCAAGCTATACGAGACCAAGCTAGACGAGATCAAGCTAGAAGAGATCAAGCTAGACGAGATCAAGCTAGACGAGATTCAAGCTAGACGAGACCAAGCTAGACGAGACCAAGCTAGATGAGACCAAGCTAGACGAAGCAAGCTAGGAAAGAGACCAAGCTAGGGCGAGACAAGCTAGATCAGACAAGCTAGACGAGACCAAGCTAGACGAGATCAAGCTAGACAGATCAAGCTAGACGAGATTCAAGCTAGACGAGACCAAGCTAGACGAGATCAAGCTAGACGAGATTCAAGCTATACGAGACCAAGCTAAACGAGACCAAGCTAGACGAAACCAAGCTAGACGAGACCAAGCTAGACGAGACCAAGCTAGACGAGACCAAGCTAGACGAGATTCAAGCTAGACGAGGACCCAAACTAGGGCGAGACCAAGCTAGACGAGACCAAGCTAGAGAGACCAATTAGACGAGACCCAAACTAGACGAGGGCCAACCTTGACGAGATCAACCTAGACGAGATTCAAGCTAGACGAGACCAAGCTAGACGAGATCAAGCTAGACGAGACCAAGCTAGACGAGATCAAGCTAAACGAGATTAAGGCTAGACGAGACCAAGCTAGACGAGACCAAGCTAGACGAACCAAGCTAGACGAGACCAAGCTAGACGAGACTAAGCTAGGCGAGATCAAGCTAGACGAGACCAAGCTAAACGAAACCAAGCTTTGACGAGACCAAGATAGCGAGACCAAACTAGACGAGACCAAGCTACACGAGACCAAGCTAGACGAGATCAAGCTAGACGAGACCAAGCTAGACGAGATCAATCTAGACGAGATCAAGCTAGACGAGACCAAGCTAGACGAGATCAATGTAGACGAGACCAAGCTAGACGAGACCAAGCTAGACGAGACCAAGCTAGACGAGACCAAGCTAGACGAGACTAAGCTAGACTAGATCAAGCTAGACGAGACCAATCTAAACGAGACCAAGCTAGACGAGACCAAGCTAGACAATACCAAGCTAGACGAGACCAAGCTAGACAAGACCAAGCTAGACGAGACCAAGCTAGACAAGACCAAGCTAGACGAGACCAAGCTAGACGAAACTAAGCTAGACGAGATCAAGCTAGACGAGACCAAGCTAAACGAGATCAAGCTAGACGAGACCAAGCTAGACGAGACCAACCTAGACGAGACCAAGCTAGACGAGACCAAGCTAGACGAGATCAAGCTAGACGAGATCAAGCTAGACGAGATCAAGCTAGACGAGATCAAGCTATACGAGATTCAAGCTAGACGAGACCAAGCTAGACGAGACCAAGCTAGATGAGACCAAGCTAGACGAGACCAAGCTAGACGAGATCAATCTAGACGAGACCAAGCTAGACGAGACCAAGCTATACGAGACCAAGCTAGACGAGACCAAGCTAGACGAGACCAAGCTATACGAGATCAAGCTAGATGAGATTCAAGCTATACGAGACCAAGCTAGACGAGACCAAGCTAGACGAAACCAAGCTAGACGAGACCAAGCTAGACGAGACCAAGCTAGACGAGGGCCAAGCTAGGTGAGGGTTCAAACTAGACGAGACTAAGCTAGACGAGACCAAGCTAGACGAGACCAAGCTAGATCAGACCAAGCTAGACGAGACCAAGCTAGACGAGATCAAGCTAGACGAGATCAAGCTAGACGAGATTCAAGCTAGACGAGACCAAGCTAGGCGAGATCAAGCTAGACGAGATTCAAGCTATACGAGACCAAGCTAAACGAGACCAAGCTAGACGAAACCAAGCTGACGAGACCCAAACTAGACGAGACCAAGCTAGACGAGATCAAGCTAGACGAGACAAACTAGACGAGACCAAGTAGACAAGACCCCAAGCTAGACGAGACCAAGCTAGACAAGACCCAAACTAGACGAGACCAAGCTAGACGAAACTAAGCTAGACGAGATCAAGCTAGACGAGACCAAGCTAAACGAGATCAAGCTAGACGAGACCAAGCTAGACGAGATCAACCTAGACGAGACCAAGCTAGACGAGACCAAGCTAGACGAGATCAAGCTAGACGAGATCAAGCTAGACGAGATCAAGCTAGACGAGATCAAGCTAGACGAGATTCAAGCTAGACGAGACCAAGCTAGACGAGACCAAGCTAGATGAGACCAAGCTAGACGAGACCAAGCTAGACGAGATCAATCTAGACGAGACCAAGCTAGACGAGACCAGCTAGACGAGACCCAAACTAGACGAGACCAAGCTAGACGAGACCAAGCTATACGAGATAAGCTAGATGAGATTAAGCCATACGAGACCAAGCTAGACGAGACCAAGCTAGACGAAACCAAGCTAGACGAGACCAAGCTAGACGAGACCAAGCTAGACGAGACCAAGTTAGGTTAGATTCAAGCTAGACGAGACCAAGCTAGACGAGACCAAGCTAGACGAGACCAAGCTATACGAGATCAAGCTAGATGAGATTCAAGCTATACGAGACCAAGCTAGACGAGACCAAGCTAGACGAAACCAAGCTAGACGAGACCAAGCAAGACGAGACCAAGCTAGACGAGACCAAGCTAGGTGAGATTCAAGCTAGACGAGACCAAGCTAGACGAGACCAAGCTAGACGAGACCAAGCTAGATCAGACCAAGCTAGACGAGACCAAGCTAGACGAGATCAAGTAGGGCGAGATCAAGCTAGACGAGATTCAAGTAGACGAGACCAAGCTAGGCGAGATCAAGCTAGACGAGATTCAAGCTATACGAGACCAAGCTAAACGAGACCAAGCTAGACGAAACCAAGCTAGACGAGACCAAGCTAGACGAGACCAAGCTAGACGAGACCAAGCTTTGACGAGATTCAAGCTAGACAGACCAAGCTAGACGAGACCCAAACTAGACGAGACCAAGCTAGATGAGACCAATCTAGACGAGACCAAGCTAGACGAGACCAACCTAGACGAGATCAAGCTAGACGAGATTCAAGCTAGACGAGACCAAGCTAGACGAGACCAAGATAGACGAGACCAAGCTAGACGAGATCAAGCTAGACGAGATTCAGGCTAGACGAGACCAAGCTAGACGAAACCAAGCTAGACGAGACCAAGCTAGACGAGACTAAGCTAGGCGAGATCAAGCTAGACGAGGGCCAAGCTAAACGAAACCAAGCTAGACGAGACCAAGATAGACGAGACCAAACTAGACGAGACCAAGCTAGACGAGACCAAGCTAGACGAGACCAAGCTAGACGAGACCAAGCTAGACGAGATCAATCTAGACGAGATCAAGCTAGACGAGACCAAGCTAGACGAGATCAATCTAGACGAGACCAAGCTAGACGAGATCAAGCTATACGAGACCAAGCTAGACGAGACCAAGCTAGACGAGACTAAGCTAGACGAGATCAAGCTAGACGAGACCAAGCTAAACGAGACCAAGCTAGACGAGACCAAGCTAGACAATACCAAGCTAGACGAGACCAAGCTAGACGAGACCAAGCTAGACAAGACCAAGCTAGACGAGACCAAGCTAGACAAGACCAAGCTAGACGAGACCAAGCTAGACGAAACTAAGCTAGACGAGATCAAGCTAGACGAGACCAAGCTAAACGAGATCAAGCTAGACGAGATCAAGCTAGACGACATTCAAGCTAGACGAGACCAAGCTATACGAGACCAAGCTAGACGAGACCAAGCTAGACGAGACCAAGCTAGACGAGACCAAGCTAGACGAGATCAAGCTAGACGAGGGTCAAGCTAGACGAGGTCAGCTAGATGAGATCAAATAGACGAGATTCAAGCTAGACGAGACCAAAGTAGACGAGACCAAGCTAGATGAGACCAAACTTAGACGAGACCAAGCTAGACGAGATCAATCTAGACGAGACCAAGCTAGACGAGACCAAGCTAGACGAGACCAAGCTAGACGAGACCAAGCTAGACGAGACCAAGCTAGACGAGACCAAACTAGACGAGGACCAAGCTAGACGAGACCAAGCTAAACGAGACCAAGCTAAAACGAGACCCAAACTAGACGAGACCAAGCTAGACGGGGAAAAAAGCTAGACGGACCAAGCAAGACGAGACCAAGCTGACGAGGGCCAAGCTAGACGAGCCAAGCTAGACGAACCAAGCTAGACGAGAAACCAAGCTAGGGCGAGACCAAGCTAGACGAGACCAAGCTAGACGAGACCAAGCTAGACGAGACCAAGCTAGACGAGACCAGCTATACGAGACCAATCTAGACGAGGGCCAAGCTAGACGAGACCAAGCTAGACGAGACCAAGCTAGACGAGACCAAGCTAGACGAGACCAAGCTAGACGAGACCAAGCTAGACGAGACCAAGCTAGACGAGACCAAGCTAGACGAGACCAAGCTAGACGAGACCAAGCTAGACGAGATCATTCTAGACGAGACCAAGCTAGACGAGACCAAGCTAGACGAGACCAAGCTAGACGAGACCAAGCTGACGGACCAAGCTAGACGAGACCCAAACTAGACGGACCAAGCTAGACGAGACCAAGCTAGACGAAACCCAAACTAGACGAGACCAAGCTAGGCGAGACTAAGCTAGACGAGACCAAGCTAGACGAGATCAATCTAGACGAGACCAAGCTAGACGAGACCAAGCTAGACGAGACCCAAATTAGACGAGACCAGCTAGACGAGGACCAAGCTAGACGAGACCAAGCTAGACGAGACCAAGCTAAACGAGACCAAGCTAGACGAGACCAAGCTAGACGAGACCAAGCTAGACGAGACCAAGCTAGACGAGACCAAGCTAGACGAGACCAAGCTAGACGAGACCAAGCTAGACGAGACCAAGCTAGACGAGACCAAGCTAGACGAGACCAAGCTAGACGAGACCAAGCTAGACGAGACCAAGCTAGACGAGACCAAGCTAGACGAGACCAAGCTAGACGAGACCAAGCTAGACGAGACCAAGCTAGACGAGACCAAGCTAGACGAGACCAAGCTAGACGAGACCAAGCTAGACGAGACTACCTTTATAAGTGAAGACGTGAATGTTTAATGACGTTCGAATGTAAGTTTGTGTGTGTGTTGATTCCTGTCTACCAGTTTATATTTTTTGTTGTAAATCTTTCTTTGTATAGTCACACACA